AATAGGTGTAATTTGAATTAAGAGGACAGGAAACAGAAGAAACAGGAACCCTCATCTGTAGTACCAAAGGAGAAAGTTTCTACCTGTCTGATAACTTGCAGAAACACTGCTCCTCTGTTCATAAGGAGGGAGTGAGGTGAATCTAGGAATGTTGTCCTTCCATTTTCTTCTTTGCCTGTGCAGGCAACTAGAATAGATTTAGCCTCTACTCTACTGGGGAAGATAAAAGGTGTTTAAACAGCAGGAAAAATTGTATTTGTCCATCACTTAAGAAGGGAACAGAGCAAATGGGAACCAGTCCAGCTGGACTTTGCCTTTAAGCTACCAGGTTTAAACTCCTGAAATGGAAACTGGTGTGAGACAAGAGTAAGATGGTACAGCCCAATAACTGGGCTCAGAGAAGCACTTAGGAAAGAGCAGAGAGCTGCATTTTGGGGAGCCTGACAGACAGACTTGCTTATACAGACTCTGCCTTGGAGCTGAAGCCAGCTATCAGGTTTTCACCAGGAACTGTTCTCTTTATTAAATGAAAATCAGGGGATTTTTTTAGCTTTGTGTTATAATCCAATTGCCTGTTTTATGGACTCCTTTCCATTGCTGCACCTAGGGGTTTAGAGTTCAGTCACCCTAAACTTACTCATTTAGTAATGTGTTTTTTAACCTTTTTTAAAACTCATCATTGGTTTTGGTTTTTTAACTTCACAGTATTGTCTTAATCTGGCAAGTTGTCAATGTGTATATTACTGTTGACTTTGCAGCTTGAGGTTAAAGCTCCACCTGGCTCACCCCTTGAGCGTTTAATCACAGTAATGCCTCTTGGTGGGAAGCATACCAAAAATTCTTTTTTCTCAAAAAAAGCTTATATTTCTGTATTTAGGAGGTGTAATATACCAATTGGTTTAAAAATTTTATTAGAGGAGAAGGCATTGTTCAGGCAAACATTGAAGGATTATGTTTAAACCTGCCAGACATTAAGAAGAAATAAACCATACCAATGGAAGTGATTTAATTTATGTTTTAAAAAGTCACAAAATCATAGTAGGTGGTGAGGGGAAGACATCTATTCATCCTCAGAATATAACAGAAAAAACTACATCCAAAACAGTGTGATGGAAAGTGTTCCTAATCTGACTGTTTGTGGGGATTACATGCCAGGAGTCTATCACCCAAAGCATTGACTGAAATTAATTACATATTTTTTGATGCAAACTGTGTAAATTCATTGATGAAAACTTCTAGAAAAATATAATATGCATCTGCATAGTTTTGAACTTATTTGGAACTTGGAACTCATAAAATGTTCTTTGACAGAATTGTTTTTGGTGATAGACATGTTGGATATCTATTGAGTATTTTTTGCTTCTTTCGTACTTGTAAGCAATCGATGAAATGCAACCACTTGAGAAAGAAAATGAAACCCCATCTGAGATTCATTCACACAGCATGAGTTCTCTTCCCCACAGGTGCTTATTACTATGTTACACATAACCATAATAGCTGAGCCCCATCAGTTGTGACTTCTGAATGAATTCTGTAATTTGTCGTTCCCACTGTTCTGTGCTTACCTCAACATGCACATTTTTTTGTGCAGTTGTATTTTGTTGCTTGTTTTATTTGCACACATATTCTATGTATACATCTCTGAATACATTACCTTCCCTCCTTGGGGAAGTAAGCACTCATGAGCACAACATTCAGAGAGGGAGAGGCATTCTTCCTCTAGTCTCTGTCCCATCCCCCTCAGCTGGGTTTTGTTGGGGGAAACTGTTGCATGAGGAGGAAGGGGAAATATTTGCAATGACTGGGCAGTTCGACCTTCTTAGAAATAGCTCCTGCACAGGTGGCTGTTGTCTTTTTGGAAGCCAGTTTCACTTTATGAGACCATCAGTTGTTGTTGGCTGCCTGCCCTTTCCTTAGAACATTCTGACAATCTTCTTGCACCAAGCAATATGAACGTCCTGAAAGTAAAGCCTGAGATTTTTAATTTGGGATGCCTTGAGGTTCAGCTTGTACCTCCCCGAATTTCAGTGCAACAAAGTTTCTCAGTGTATCAATATTGATGACCACATTAATCGTCCCCTCAGGGTGATGGTCCAGCTGGAGTTACATTCAAGTAAGGTTTTCTTGGTATTGCTGAGTGAGAGTAAACCAGTGCCTACTTTTCAGCTAATTTTCCTCAAATCAGACAGGTTGAATTGCTCACCAGAGTTATGCAGCATCTCTCTTTCATATGAAACCTGTGTTTTGCTTCCAAGGAAAGAGTGTGGAGGGGAGCTTTTTGGCTTCAAATTACAAGTTCAGTTGACAATCCCTTTTGCCACTTGACTCCTTATAGAATAGCCTTTGGCAGGCAGTGCGTGAGAACCTTAATTTGTTACAGCTGTCAGAGAGATGTGCATTGCTTTCTTTTCTGTTCTGCCTGGTTTCCTGTGGAAATGAGGCTTTTTCTGTCATGCTCGCTCACTGACAGGCTGTCCAACCTTATCCTATTTACGTTTTTAATCCATTGGCCAATTTTTAGTCCTATTTAATGCTGAGGCAGATGCCTTAATGATATTGAGTTCTACCACTGTAATGAATACTGGCAGCCAGATAGAGGAGAGAGATGTAATTAATGCCTGTTCTGATGAAAAGATTTCGGTGTGTGCTCAGCTTTTTCTGGGTATCAGGCTTTATTAGCTCTTTTGTGAACAAAACTGCCTGGTTTTATATTGTTAGCATTATTGTAGAGTTTTAATTAGTGGCTTTGGCTCTGTGGTTTATCTTGCTATCATGCATCAGAGCCCTAATAAGGGTTCAAAATGCCACTGAGCATGATAGTGTTGAGTGTGTGGGCTGTGATACTACCAAACATTGGCGTTATTAATTCTGGGAGATAATAGAACTCCATAAGGACAAAAATCTCTTCTTTCATCACTCTCCCTGACCCTGACTCCTTAGCTGGTCTCGTTTTATGGGAAGGCCATCATCTGCTGCCTGGGGTCTCCATCCTGAAGCAAAGATTGCAGCATATTGGGCTGCTGAACACTTCTCCATGCCAGAATTCCTCCTTGAACCATACAGCCCTCACCTTCACCAGCTTTTGTCCTGGGATCTGGGGTTCCTGCCTGACTTTCTGTGCAGAAACAGTGCTGTGTCTCACCCCATTGCTGCAGAGTAGCATGCCTGCTATGGGTGGAAGAGCGACATGGAGACAATTCACTTGCTCTCTTGTTCCACTCAAAACATTGCCCATGTAGTACCATGGTAGGAGGGAATAATGGAGATTAAGATAAACTTGTCATCCCATTGAATCTCTGGGATCATTCCATCAGGTTACCCGAGGAAGCCAGTTTGACTTGCCTAATTCAGGCATTTCCTATCTACATGATAATCTCTGACCTTTTGCATCTTGCACATTCTGTAAAAATGAGGCGGAACAAGCGTTTTTTTCCATCTAGACAGAAAAAAAAAAATCATAAAGATTATTTACTTGAAACTGCAAAGAGTATCTGTTTGAGCACCTAGTCTAATTTAGTCAAACCCTTGTACAGGGTGTGAGCAGCAGAAACACACATTGTTTTAAAATTTTAAATTTATTAAAAGGCGTATATTGGGAATACACTTAAATATGTTGTATGTGCAAGTTCAAAAATTATATGGTTTAGATCACTGCTTTACTTGTCTTTTAGATTTGTGATTTCTAATTGACCTGTCAGACTTTCATAAACCAGGCTGGTTTTATTTTGATTTATGAATCTGAGGCAGAAGTGGCAAATAAGGTGATATATAGCCCAGTATTGTGATTCTTTTTAAAATTCCAGTCTTGGCTCAAAATTATTTTCATAGATGTTCTTGGTTGAGTTCCTGAATAAGTATGCAATAAGTGTGTTCTTTTTTTCCTGTAGCAAGATATTTAAACATTAATATATACAAGAGTAAGTCAGCATGTCATGAATAAGTATTCTTGCAGCTTAGTCTGTTTTGTGGAACCTCTAAATTTTGTTTAGACTTTTATGTTACTCTAATCTTATAAGTGGTTTTTATCAGCAATTGGAAATGGTAAGGTACTTACCACTAATTCTGAGAAATAGAGAGAATGAATGTAAGTACGTGCACACTGTGTTAAAAGCTTTTGTTTTACTTGTTTTTCATTGATTCTTATTTATTCTTCTCATAGGGTTATATCTATGACTAGTTGCACATGTCAGAAAATGTGTGATGAGTTTGCAGACTTGTCTGCCTTCAAAACTCTTCCCTCTACATGCTTTTTTATTACTGCTGTCGTGGAATATATTGCCTAATTTGTAAATATCAAAAGCACTGTAAAATGGGAGATAGCAATTTACTTAGTACCATGCATACACAATTTATTTCAGTTTTTTTAAATGAATGAGCTCTTCTGCTGGAAAACAGGAAACTTTATACAGAGTGCCTACAAACACTTTCACAGTTAACAGGCATCTTAATATTGGTCCTAACTAGTAGAGAACCCAAATCTCTCTGAAATGAAGGATATCATTAATGTTGCTTGACAGATTTGAGCTATTATGAATAATATGACCCTATGGGTCAGAACAAAACAAAGTTTTTATTTTCACAACTGTTGGTTGGAAGGATTTTATTATTACTGTGCACCAAGCTTTTTTTGACTTCCATAAACTGCTTTCCGATTTGTAAAGGGTTCTGAGAGCAGCACTGCATTTTCATGTGGCTTCTGTGCCTTGGCACAGCTGAGTGCCTGGAGCAGCAACCTGTCTTTCCTTAGAGTTGTCTCTCTGGAACTGAGTAAATTTTGCTCTGGTTTGTGAATCAGGGAGAGTTTAAGTGGGTTGGCCATGGGTGGCTTAAGGGAACATAGGAATTTTTGCTTTCCCATTCTAAATTTAGAATATGCATTTTTCATATTCATATCACATCTGCAAAAGTTACTTGAGGAGTATGTACAACATGAATATGTGGAAAGAGGATAAAGATTTCCCATTGAAATTTTGATTATGTTTTTGTTCTTTTCATTCCAGTGAAATGAAGCAGAAGTTGGATGAAGAGGGTAACAAGTGCAGCATCCTTTCCAAGCAGCAGAAATTCAATGAGCACTGCTGCATTCGCTGCTGTTCCCCTTTCACATTTCTTATCAACAGCAAGCGACAGTGCCAAGACTGCAAGTACAACATCTGCAAGAGTTGCAGCACTTACCAGAAGAAGGAGAAGGCTTGGATTTGCAGTGTCTGTCAGCAAGCAAGGTAAAGGCCTTTTTTTCAGCAACTTGTGCAAAGCAGCTGTGGCCTGACCTGAGCTTTTCTCTGTATTTGTCAGTAGTTAACTCTGGTGGGATAGGAGCTGAAGTACCTGTTTATGTAGAGGCTGATTTATTCCTGACATGCCTGGTTTTTGTAGAGGTTAATTTGCTCTGAGAGTGTTTGGTTACCTGTTGCATTTTCCAGGCTTGTTTAGCTGGACTGATATATCAGCAAGCAGTAACTGGGCATAGCTTGTGCAGGACTGGGATGTCCTGAAACACTTGGGTTACTAATGGAACCTGAGCACAGATGGTGCTAAGGCAGTTAATAGTTTGGCAGCTAATCCCACTGATGGGTCAGGAATGGAAGGAAGAATATTTGCAAATAGATTATCCAGCTGTGACTGTGTTTTAAAGTGCTTTTCTAAATGCCAGCTTATTGGTGGGGATGCCTTGAGGTTACTTTGGCAAGTACCCAAAGAAAATAGCAGTGCAACTTGTTATAATTCATAACATCTGCTAAGAATATGCTGCTGGGCTTCTATTTGCAGAGGGTATCAGGGATTTACTATCTCACCCTTCTGAGGCTAACAGAGCTCTAATATTTAAAGATAGCACCAGAAAAACAAAGCAAAACACGAGTAGTAGAGGGGCCATCCCTTTGGAGGTGACTGTGATAGTCCTTGTCTTCAAGCTCCAAAAGCAGCCATAGCTGTGGTGAGGTAGTCCTGACTGACACAGTTTAACTCAGTCAAGAAGGGTGAAAGAAGTAACTCATTTCCTTATGGTTTAGTTTTCACCACTGGTGACTAAAGCAGCTGAACATGTGTGACAATGATGGCTGTTTATTCTTTACCTTTCTCTTTAGTGGAGAACGCAGGATGAAGACAAGAGACAAGTCCCTTTGCAATGCTTTATTTGCATACTTACCAAAGCTGTACTATTCCCTCTTGTTTCCCATTAACACCCTCTTGAAATCACAGAATCACAGAATAACTAGGTTGGAAGAGGCCTTCAAGATTGTTTAGTCCAACCCAGCCCTAATACCTCAACTAAACCATGGCACTGAGTGCCACATCCAATCTTTGTAAACACATCCAGGGATGGTGACTCCACCACCTCCCCAGGCAGAAAATTACAGTACTCTATCACTCTTTCCATAACATACTTTTTCCTAATATCCAACCTATGAGCCAGTGCTTGTTTCTGCCTTAGTCATTCGACCATTGCATATTACACCTCTTCCTTCCATTTATCCTGCGTTCACTCATACAGGCAGCAGCACAGCAGCCAGGTTTGTGGATGCTGATGAACTGCACTTAAAATACCTCTTGCTGTCTCCATGAAAATGTCTCAGAAGAATTTAACTTCAAAAGAAGAATCTGTAGCTATATTATAAAATACTATTTCTTACTCTTGAAGTCAGGGCTTTGCCCACAGTTCTGTGCAGCCCACAAAGTCGCCCATCTGTAATTCAGTTATAAACATTTTCTTTATTTATGAAACCTGAGACACAGCATGAGTTGTTTTTCAGTGAATAAATTAACTAACACTGCTGCTAATCATTTTATGTTCTCGTTTATTGGACTGTGCAACTTAGAAATCCCTGTAGGTAGATCAAGGGCTAGTATCCCTCAGAGTCTGCTGATGTATTTTGATTTGGTGGGGGCTTTTTTTTTGTGTTTGGGGGCGGGGGTGGTATAACTTTTTGAGGTTTAACTCTCGGTCAGTATTTCTTCCAGGGAAAAGCACAACAGTCTGTTTTGAGTTCTTGTCATCTTTTCAGTGACTTTTCCTCAGGTGGACTGTGTTCTCATGCCTCTCCCCAGCTCCTCTGTTTGTGTCTTTTATTTTTAGGTTTGATCAGGTAGCACAGGTAATGGAGGTGGTTCTTGGTTTTAGCTGTTATTTGCCCGCACATCTTACTGCACAATAGAAAGTGAGCTCTAGTGGGCTAGAAATATCTGAAGACCATGTTCTATGCTCAAGAAAAGCTGACATGTTGAGTTAGTCTTTCAAGGCTTGACCCCAGTGGAAGTACCTGTTCTGTGGATTTTCATTTTCCAAGGCAGACATCTACATTAGCATTTAGCAGAGAGCAAAAATTCAGGTCAGAATTTGAAACATAGAACATTTGTAGAAAATCAATCAAAAAAGTCCTCGCTTCTTCCAAAAGCAGCAATATGCCAATGAAAACTTTGGTGTTTGAATTCCTTTAAAGCACATCTCCTGTTGCCATACATTTTTTAGAATTTAGAAATTTGGCTTAGTATGTAATCTCAGGCTCAAAAATGTCTTTATAGAATGTCTGTATTAATCTTGTGAAGAGCAGGAGAACCTTCCTTAAATTTCCCAATTTCCCAGATTTAGCACATATTCTGCAAATGCTTTTTGATTTAGATTTGTCTCTGAATACTATTATTAATGTTCTCAGGGGGTTCATCTCTCATGGGTATCTTTTTAGTCTGTAAGTACTATTTGATAAAATTATATAATACTCATTTCAAGTTTTCGATTTCTGTATAGTGCAGTTCCCATTCTTCCAAAGCTTTGTACGATGTCTCCTTGTTAGACACCTGTCAGACAGTGTATTTAGGTAGCTTGCTGAGGTGTGTATTTTTTAAGTGCTCTTGGATAAGTAGATTCCAGGCACAGTTTCTTTGCCTTCTGGATTAATGCTTTTTATGCCAGAGGCAAAGGTTCTTTGCTCATCTAATAGAAATAAGATATGCATCCACTTTTCCATTCTTCAAGGAGCCATATCCCAGAACACCTTGCTCATGATACTCTGCTTTCCAGTTTAACACTTGTACAAATAAAAATTAGAATAAAACAAAATACAACAAAAACAAAACAAACAAACAAGTACAAAAAAGCCCCACCAAGCACAATCTATTAAAATGCATATTTTTGCAAGTTTTCTAAACTAATCATATTTTACTTTTGGACTGATTAGTATGAGTACAAAGAGTCCAATCCAAAATACAGTGCACAAACATCTGGCTGTCCCCTCAGCTTTTAATGGCTATCATGTGTGAATTCCCCTGCATTCTTGGCTCACTTCTTCAGGTCTCACCATCTGTATGGTAAAATATTTCTGTCTCTGTTGTGAGTGGGAGCATGGGCACCTAATCCTTTCATGCCTTCACATCCATCTGTCCTGTGATTTTCACAGCTGTTCTCAAAACTCTTGCTCGGGTAGTGAAAGTTCATCACTTAAAGGACTCCTGCTTTGCTTTCTTGAGTCAGGCCATGGGTTAGAGGGTGTTCAGGAAGTCATTATTCTGCTTTATAAGAGCTGTTTTGTTGGTGGTCCTTTCCTAGTAATAGTTAAGAGACAGAGACCCAGTCACTGGTCCTTTGATCAATTAATTGTGTCATTAATAAGTGAAAAGCACAGTCATGCTGCACATACTCAGGCTTCCTGCAGTCAAAGTAGTGTTTTGGGCTGCTTAAACTGGGTCTCAGAAATTGTCACACTGGTTGCTTGCAGCACGGATTTATCTGAATGTTTAAGAGAACTGCTTTTTTTTGTTATTTTTTTTTAACTTTGGTTTTCATACATCCTATTTAATTACTGCTTTTAAAAAGAAGAAAGCAAAGGTATATCAATTGTCTTCATCAACTCTTCAATCCAGAGTTATTACTGAATGTTCCTTATATTTTCTTTTCATCTTTTTGTGGTGCCTCGTTGAATATAGCTAGGCTTTAACAATTTGCATCAGTAGCAAATGTAATTGCCTTACTGGAACTTGAAAATTAGTTAGACTAATTAGATATGCACTAGGGTTTTTTAATGCACATCGGAGTGAGATCTGAGAAAATGCATTAAGGTCTAGTCTACCTGCAGTACCCAGTACATTTTCTGCAACAGGCATGTATTGGAATCAACATTAATATAAAAATGGAGCAACGCTTCTGATAAAATGAAAATTGCAACAGAAAATAAAAGTCTAGACTCACTTGGCAGGCAGAACACTCTCCAAATAGAAAGGAGCTTTGCCAGCCTCAGGAACAGTCCTAAATAAAACATTTATATTTCATATGATTTTGTTTGGAGTGCTCTGTAAAACAATGTAATGGGTTTTAATGTCAGCAGAACAAAGCATGTATTTGTGGAAACATGATAAAGTTGAAATTAGCCTGCCAAAAGGATATATCTCTTCTGCTTAGCTGATGTAAGTTTTAGTGTAAAACTCTGCAGTCTCTACAGAGAAAAAGAAAAAAAAAAAGCACCAAAATTTGGTAAAACTATGGTATGGTACTTGAGGAAAAGTAATACTTCTGGTTAATAACTGAACTTTGTATTTGTTTGTCTGTAACAAAAACAGTCAGTTTCAGGACTTAGTTGAGGAAAACTAATGAAGATATAATGCTGCTTAGCAATTTTGTTTTGCTTTCAAGCAGGCTCAACCATCTGGTAAAAGGAAGCCAAAATGTATTTTAGGTAGTCTGCCTCAGCCATAGCTTGTGTATAGTTTTGTGACAGTTGCTATTTCTGCTGTTTGAAGTCCCTTTCTGACATTAGTGAGAACTTCTACAGAACTTGGAAGCTGTGACACTGTCAAGTAAATGCCAGGAAATGTGTTTTTGCTTCCGAGATCATAGAATTGTACAGGAGCATTCGCTTGCTCTGTGGCATAGCATAGAAGATAAAGTCTTACTTCTACCATGTGCCTGTTGTCTTCATTTGACCCATATGGGTCTTGTTCTGCTTTTTTGAAAGTTCTCTAAATGATCCCATTCATAATGTACTTAAGGGATTTACTAATTTTAAGTAAATTGCAGTGAAAATTATTTTTCTCAGTTGTATATACTTGTAGAAATTGATGCAATTCCTTCAGAAAAAGGCATGCTACTCTATTCAATTTCTTTCCTTCCTCCTTGTCCTGCCACTGTCTCTCTGTTTTGTATCCTGTTGCTTGACCTCCTTGTCCTTGCTGTGCTTTAGCATCACAGTGGATCATAGACACCATATCCTTTTGCTCACTGTACCTATGAAGA